GTAATAAAAAACCGTAAGATTTTTCAATTTTATCTTTTCAGTTGTCGTGACAAAGAACAGACAAAAGGAAAGTTGCATTTGTTAGAGGGCTCAAAAATCAGTCGACTATTATGAAACTGACTAAACTCACCGCTGGTCTCCATATTGCAATAAGCCAGAACAGATGTATCAGATTTTATAGTGGAAAACCAGTATTTTCCGCTAACAGCGTGTCCTTCACTCCTCTTTATTTCCTCACAAGTCTCAGCTGGTAGTTCTTGAATCGAACCAAGGGGAACTGAAGGTCAAAAACAATTCTTCATTAATTTATCATTATGCCCATTTTTTACTTTATGCCCGCTTGGAAGGGGGGGGGGGGTCGAACCTAGAACATCTTATTTTTCGCGTGGGAGGCTAACAATGAGGGGGCTATGGATACTGTATTGAGCGGCTGAAGTATAGTTGTTCCCTAGCTATTCAAGCTGTTATTTATAAAAGCCATAACAAGGCAATTTTTGACTGTTTTTAACTTAACTTGAGAGAGGTAATTTGGTCAAGCACACTTTTAAAAAGTTCTAGACTGAAATGAGCCGAAATTGTATGTGAAAAAGGCACCATAGGAAAGGAGTACCTTTACTGTCAAAAATATAAAAGGGTAAGGGATGGAGCGGAACCTCCCCGTAAAAAAATTGTTGAGTCCCCCCCGGTTTATGCTGCTGTCCTGCCTTATGCGCACTGGGAAAGATATTATCTCACAACAGGATATCGTCTTTTTTCTCAACACCCCGTTGAAGACAGACGCACGATTTGGGCTCTGAGATAAATGTCTCAAACTCCGCAAACCCCCGGCTCCGACGTAGCCGAACTCATCAGTGGAAGTAATGGCAGCACTAGCACAAGTCCTCTATCCACAGTTGCCCCGGGCTCTTCGGCCCCCGGGCCCCTCAGCGCAAAACCAGTCAACAGCACCGGCCGCGCTACCGTCGGGAGAGGGTGCCACCCAGGTGAGCCCCACCAAAGCAACATGTCAGGTTAGTTTCTTTGATTGTTCTCGCTTCTTTTTCTGCCGTATGGCTACAAGGCACGTCCTCTCGGGGCTCGCGGCTCTCGGTGTTTACCTTCACCGCACCTTGTATTTAGGTAGCGTGCACATTTTCTTTTATCTTCATGTCTTCCACGTTACCAATTAGGGAATCCCTGTCCTGTGGTTCCCCGCCTGTGCATCTTACTTTAGTCTAGATGCTACTTCGTTCGAGATTGTATGACTAGCACAGGCAACTAACGAATCTCGGGAAGCGGGGAGTAGTTGCCATTTTCTCATGAGAACAACAGAGATAACTAGCAAGTGCATGTGTGATAGTACTCGTGGCCGTTCGGCTGTTAGATTTGTCAAGAATTGTCGCCTCAAATAAATATGACTAATATTTATCGGAGTTTGGCCTCTTGGCTTGCTATTGTGCAAATAGTCTTTATTTGTGCGACCAACTCAGAAAACTGGTGAGTGGCCCCTCTTTAGGCCTTAGGGGGGACACGCCATTAGGCCTGTTTTGACTTGTGCGATCAACACAAGAAACTGGCGAGTGGCTATGCGTTGGATCGCATCATGCCGTGTTGTAAACTGTTCATAGGCTTTATCATGATTTGTGCGACCAACACAGAAAACTGGCGAGCTGCTATGTGCGAGGCCTTGTTGGCCATTTATTAGTCCTTTGGCCTAAGGCCATTAGGCGCGCTCTGCTATGAATTGTGCGACCAACACAGAAAACTGGCGTGTCCAAGGTATATAAAAGACCTTGACGGCAACGGACTAATAGGCTTTGTTGTTATGTGGGCGACCAACACAGAAAGCTGGCAGAGAGTTACGTTCAATTTCACAGTGCGCACCAGCCTACAGAGAAAGATGTGCGGCGGCTAGGTCACTTCGTTATCTGTTTTTCGTTTGGGCGACCAATTATAAATCCTGGCGATTAAGAGAGAAAGTAGACCGTTCGTCACTGTTCGTACATACGATATAGGGTAGAGCACGTTGGATAGCGACGGGCTATGTCCCTTCTATGTGAACAATTTACGATGAGTTACGGTCGCTGTATCAGAGCCAAGGGTTTTTTTACCCCGCGTGCGCTGGATACCCTTTAATAGAGGGCCTCCTGTTTAAGGATCCATCTTGGTTCTATTATTATATGCAAATACATTTTCTCTCCAACACCGCTTGTCTGTTTAGGTTGTTAGGCTGTAACATTGGCGAATTCAGGAATTAATTCCTCATTGTGGACACGTTCCATTCATATCAGGCAAGGCGGAACACGTTTGTGATCACACTACCTCAGATCATTTGATAATTTGCTCACCCACGTAGTTGCTTATCGTGTTTTTTCTCGGGTGGTCTTAGCGAGGTCATTGATGCATCTGGTCTGCGAACTTGTGCTTAACAGACTTTAGTTGTTTGTATTCTTACCGAGTTTTCCTGTAGTAGGTGTAGATTTGATCATTATTTCCCGGGTTATTGTCATAGCCCGTCACGGCATGAATTAGGCACAAGTCAGATGTTTTCTTCTATAAATAAAGTTATATTATTCTACTTGCAGGTGCGATGTTGATCTTGTCGACCAGTGTTTAAAATGTACCCTGTAAACATACTTTTCTTCTCTACACGGGACTTAGTGACGATTGTCAAGGACCTAAAAGGTCAATTGAATGAGATAAAAGGAACGAACCACACTCGCAGATTTCAGACGCTGCGTGATGAGTTAAAGAAATACTGTCACGCGATCGACTTTAACGAGACGGTTGCCCTATGCCCTTAATAGAGGAGGCACGCCTATCAAAAGCTGAAGAAACAGCAAAGATAACAGCCCTTTTGGATAGGCTAACGTTTAGTAAACAATCTGGCAAGCAGGTGGACCTCCGCGCCACCATTTTCGGATGTCTCGCTACAGAAGCTGAGATAGCCGCAGATAAGCTAGTTCGCCGCTATGATCAAAAGGGTACCAGCAACCGACAGGCAAGTTCCTACCGGGTCGACCGCCAACGCTGGACCCCCGGACAAAGCCGCGACACTGGAGGCAGGCGACGGGGCTACAGCCATACCGACGCAAAGTGTTACGCCTGTGGAGAGAGCGGTCATTTCGCCCGCGACTGTAATAAACCCACACACAGAGAACAACCACTGTCAAAAAAACCCAAAGTTTAGCTTCGGTTATCTCAACCTAAGATTCAATAAAGATCAGTCGTTTTAGGTCCCTTGTTGTTTTTTTCTCTGGGAGCGTTATGTTCACCTGTCATCTGTTAGGGAACACCCAATACCTGTTTACACCTTTCCCCCATCAACGGGCCCTCTTTTTATTAGGGCCGATTCATCCGGGGTCCGATTACCGCCTGGTGATGGGACCTTCAGCTGCTTATATCTAAGTCGCGGGATGAGTCGGTCTTCCCGTCCCTGGGTTGCTTTTACAGAGATTTTTATTTGTTTTCCTCATGGATCTCTTGTAAGGCCCCCAACATTCCTCGATGGGAATTGGAGACCTCGTTTCATCCTTTAGAAGCGGAACAAGAATTTCTCCAGCGCGAAATCCGGTTCATCCGGTGGCCCCTGGGGACGGGGGGACCCGAATGCTTACCCGCGGCACCTCCATAGATGCAGTTGCCCAAGGTACTGCTTCAGCGGCAGCCTTTGATGTGTGGGTTCGCGACCCAGCTAGCTTTATAGCAGGACAGCCCCTTCGTCACCTTGATGTTTGGGATCGTTTATCTCATCGCTACCCACAGAAGGAATTAATTCGTGAATGGATCAGTAACGGCATTTAAGTAAGCCGCTTCATAACTCCCTTTAAGGGCCAGTATCGACGGGAGACCTTCAATCATATCTTCCCGCCTAACAGATACTATTCTAATAATAAAAAATGCAAGTTCCATAAAGATGTTATCTCTCGAGAAATCGAAACTAAAATAGCCATGGGCGCTATTAAAGTATTGGGGAGGGTGGAAGATACCCCCCTGCCAGCTATCGTTATGCCCCTTAGCATCGAGCCCTCCAAACCTCGGCTAGTCCATGACCAGCAATACCTTAACTGCTTCATGCAACAGTGTCCGTTTTCACTCGATCAGGTGGTCAACCTTCCCCGCTGCTTATCGCAAAACTCCTTCCAAACGAAGTTGGACGATAAGTCTGGTTTTGATCATTTTTTTATTTCGGAGGATAGCCAACCGCTTATGGGCGCGGAATGGGGAGGATGGTGGCTTGTGTGGAGAACTCTTCCACAGGGATGGAAGGAAAGCCCTTATGGCTACCAAACCCTGGGCTCAGTAGCCACAAATGCGTTAAGAGAGCTCGGATTACCTTGCTCCCAGTACACAGACGACAGACACCTCGGCGAACTCTGGGGCTCAGTAGCAAAGCGATCCTCCAGCTTGGACGCTGCGAACGCCGCCTTTTTTGTCGCGCCACTATTTTAACCCAGCTGGGATATTGTTTACACCTTGGAAAATGTGTTCCAGTTCCTACGCAGCATCTCATTTTTCTTGGCCACCTCATCGATACCACCCGTCAAACCTTCTCTATCCCGGAGGGAAAAAAAGGAAAAGTTCATTGCGCTTCGAGAGAGCATGCTATCAAGTAACTTTGTCTCCATTTACGAGTTGCAGCGCTTTCAGGGAAAATGCATATCCCTAACTCTCATGGTTCCTGCTGCACAGCTATACACTCGTGTGGTTGCGCACGCTATTTCACGTTGTCAAAAACAGGGAACACCCATCCCTCTCGATGGAGATTTGAGAGAAGAAATACTTCACTGGCGCTTCCTTGACACGTGGACAGGGTTCGTCCCGTGGCGCACTGAGGAACATAGAGTCTTGCGCACCATCGCCTCTGATGCCTCGCAGTCCAGTTGGGGAGCAACGCTGTCCCTCCCAAACGGTATAGTGTCGGTAGGAGACTATTTTGGCCTGGATATGGACGAAAGAGACATCGCAACGAAAGAAGCGCACGCCCTACTTTAGGCCCTGCACGCCTTAGAGAAATAGGAGCGACAGTAACACTGCTCGTCGCTGACGTTTTTCCCTGGCCTTACTGGTGGCCTATTTTATACCATTCCTTGGGCGCGCCACATCTGCTCGCAAATGCAGGGGATCCTACGGCTCTTATTTGGCCCGCCAGAACACACGGCTTCTCAAAACCAAAATACATGCCACTTCCGTGAGACCTGTGGGTCTTCCGAATCACTAGAACAAATCCCAATTGAATCCTGTCGTGTTTTACATTTACTTTCAGCAGCACCCGCAGCGTTACACAGTTTGGAAACCTGTCCTTCAAGTGGAATGCCACAAATGTCTTGCCCCAAATGACCTTCAATACCGTTTTCGTCAGATGTGTGGGACCCTTAGGAGAAATGAACACCATAGTAGTGATAGCAACCCGGTCATTGACACCAACCCCTTGGAGTCTCGTTGGCAAGAAACTTGAGACCAATCTGGCCTGATCAAAATACAGCAGAAAGAAGAGTGCTCTGGAGCGAGAATTCGTGTCCTTCCTCCATCGCTTAAGCCCACCAAAGTAACTCGATTGTGTGTCTCCGAGGCACATTATTTATTTCCTTATCTGGAGAGATAAGGATTCAAAGACCCACGTCCGCGGAGATACTTGTCAGAATCAAGGTACAACGTCAAAAACACCCACATCCTGTGGATGCCCCCGACGCCTAGCTTTTAAAACTGTAGACTCTTACGTAGGACAGCTTAGAGCTATTCTGCGTGCCCATTTAGAGACTACAACACTCACCACAACGGGAGATCCAGTGCCCAATCCAGCAGCACACCCAGCGGTCAAACGATATTTAAAAGGGGTGACAGAGGAACAGCTAAAAGCACGCGCTATCCCTAAACAAGCCGAACCTATCTTTAAATGTGACCTCACGGCTCTTTGTCAAGTGGTTGAAAGTAAGCTACGATCGGCATCCACTGACCCAATTCATCTCTGCATCTACACTCGCAACATGGCCTACTTCAAATTGCACTTCTTTTCTGGAGATCGCCCATCAGACTTGAGCCATATAAAGGCTGCTGAAATTCTCGGTTTTCCTAATGACAAGGGTCTCATTTTTAACCACGTTTTCCGGAAGACCCTCCGTTCAGGCGATTCCAAGGTCTTTGCCGTCACCAGACATCCAAATCAATTTCTCTGCCCAGTAAAGGCGTTAGACGACTATATGACCACTTGTCAGGCTATTAGGATCTCTGTGCCTGCTGGTCCCCTCTTCAGAGCAACATGTGGGCAATCCGTTCTTATTGATGCCTTCTCCACGGATGCCGCAGAAGCAAGGTTAAAAACGTATTTGACAGCAGCCGGTCTAACAAACAAAACTCTTTACAGCTTTCGCTGTGGGGGTGCGATTACCATGGCTCTTACTGGCAGCACGCTGGATGACATTGTTGATCATGTCGGCTGGCGTTCGCATAACATGGCCAAATACTATCTGCAGCTCCATAAATCGCTTCAACCGGCCTCGGTGGCAGCGAAGATGGCTCTAGTTACACCGGAAACCACGGCCCAATACGAAGAACGTAATCAGATTTGAGCCGGCTTTTTCGCAGAACACGACGGTTACGCTGCCATCAAAACGGCAGTCCCCTAGAAAATGTTGACCATTATGTGTGCGCTCACTGAACCGAACTACACATAATAAACACAATCTCAACACTGCCTCATCCTTAGCTGGAATAGGGTAGGGATCAAAGAGTTTGGATATAGGATTGGGCATGTATCGTTATTGTTGGGGCTTGTATGTTCCTTTTGGCTTCTTACGTATTCCGGTGTTTTGTCCTCATACTTCGGGTTAATAGCCCTATCTTTTACAGTAAGCATGAGAGGGGATATAGTACTTTCCTGACTCATGCGTACTGGGAAAGATATATCTCACAACAGGATATCGTCTTTTTTCTCAACACCTAGGTGGAACAGGGAAGCGTCGGTTTGGGAGTGTCCCGCTGTGTAGTTTCACAGATAGTGTTTGTTTTCCACCCCATGCCCCCGCCCGCCCCGCCCCCCCACCCACCCTCTCCATAAATTTCGAGCCTTACAGGCTCAGCCCCGCCGACTTCCTGCCGGCGGTCTCAACCACATACCCGGTTACGACAACGAGACACCCGTCAGGAAGCTGAAACGTCAGCTGTCCTATCAAGTCGCAAGCACCACACGCATTTGGATATAGGATTGGGCATGTATCGTTATTGTTGGGGCTTGCATGTCCCTTTTGGCTTCTTTCTTATTCTAGTGTTTTGGCCTCATACTTGGGGTTAATAGCCCTATCTTTTACAGTAAGCATGAGAGGGGATATAGTACCGTCGCTTCGCGTGGAATAATTTTAAAAATCGTAAATATAGGAAAATTCTTGACTTTTTCATAGTCATAACTCCTTCTATTCAATCCCTTTTAGGTCCTTTTAACTAAGGTGTTTCGATATAGTTTTTCAGAGGCCATACCGATATTTTTCAATCGCTTTAAAAGTGATTTTATCCTTGTCTGATCGCTATAAATTTTCACCAATGATTGACTATAGATTGAAATTTGTCAAAGTGTAGGTTTTAGTAAAATCGACATTACTATGACAACAATAAACAAAAAACTTTGATATTGATAAACGCCTAATTTTGCGCGATCTAGACCAGCTATGGAAAATCCAACACTAGGAACTAAAAGTTTGGTGTTTAGCAAATAACCTCCGTAAGAAGTAAAATTCGACTAAAACGAAAATATATTTCAAACCTCAAATTAAATTTTCAATAGCCGCGATAGATTATTTAATAAAAACGTTATGAAAGATTCAAATTATTCTTAAGCAGCGTAAGAATGCTGCTTAATATCATATTTCAATGCTAGGAAATTTTGGTGTATTTTCGTTCTTGCGATCTTAAAAACTAATCCGTTTTCCCCCCACCTGTCATCACCTGTCTAAGTGCAACTCATTCAAAATTTGGACTTGTAGAGCTTTTTTGTATATCTCTGAAATGACTCGAACGAATTTTTTCAAAATCTCTTCGCTCTCTTCTGAAATTTTCATTAAGATTGACTCACTGCAACCCCGTGAAATTTCATGACAAACCTATCCCACGAACCGAATAAAACTCCGCGCTACAACATTCACTGTTTCGACGTTATGCTAATTTTTCCAAATTAATGCGGACAATACATATGTCCATGACTAATATGATTCAAAAGATGCGATAAATTCAAACTAAAATGTATAAGTCATTAAGGTATGGCCTCTGAAAAACTGTATCGAAACACGTTAAAGGTCTTATTTAACCCTTTAAGCCCTAAGAATGATCAGTATCAAAATTCTCCTTGTGATATCAATGCTTTATAAAACATATTGGTGATGAGAATTAAGAACATGATCCATGACAAGACACCATGAGTTGCTACTCAAACTACTTCTCACTACTACTTTTAAAGGGAACGTGTTATTTAGGGACAGCGACAGGGAGTTTGACTTTTGGTGTAAGGGCTTAAAGGGTTAATGAGAGATTTCCCTATACCCTTTCATTTACTTCAACTAGTGAAGTCCTTTAACCCCTTTATATTCCTGAAGCCTGACAAAGGTTACTCTTTAGTCGGTCCCTTCCCCGATAGGCTATTATAGGGAGAACCCCTTCCTCATGGTATGCTGGCTCACCTCGCTTTAAATCGCGTGGATAGTAAGATCTTTCTGAGTTTGGAATGAAGTCCTCAGGCCTGGCTTCCTTTGTTCTGTTGTTAAACTCGCAGGTGAGAAGAGAGATTACCCAGTTAAAACTTTGGCATCGATTGTCTTCGCGACACTTGAATACGCATGTAAACGGAAGTTCAGCAACAAGAGTGTCGTATACGTGTCCCCGTAGCATCCAGCCAATGATGGAGCTCTCGAATCTTCCACTTGCAGGACATTTTTGAGTAACTGCGTTGTAGAGCAGGAAAACCACAACTGACATACGTAATACTATTCTCGCCGTCATGTCTGGAACTTCCGGCTAAAGTATAAAAAAGTATTTTGTTAAAACGCGTACTTTGCAAAATTTAATGCTTTACGTGTGCTGTCTCTTCTAGCCTTTTCCCTTGTTTTAAGTACGTTACAAGAATGTTATGAGAGTTTCATGATCATAAATAAGCTGTATACAGCTGTATAAAATTGCTAATTTTTCGTTAAGAGTTAAATGTTATAAACAAATCATTGGCTCATAAACAGCCGAAATGAATCGCCATCTCTTCGACGCTGTTTGATTCAAAATCCCCTTGATAGAGAATAACAAAAGAGGAAACTAAGACAACTGAAAGCCTCATTCACTAAGCTTGGTTAGTTGTTTGCTTTCAAAGTTGCTGAAAGAGTGATCTTCCTTACCCGTCTACTGCGCCTCCCCTTCGTTGCAAAAAGCTGAGCACTTTGTAATCAACAACCCTAGTATTCTACTTAGAACATCGGTGAAAAAATTTTAAACACAAACCTAAGCTTCAAGAAATTTCTCTCTTTAAATCTTTAATCAGATAATTACGCTCAGAATCAGCCCATTGCACCGGTTCTCGTTGCATTGCCATGACAACGCTAATCTTAAAAAAAATCAGCCTAAACTTAGAACGACTTCCTCAATTTCATATGATCAGAGGGAAAATAAGAGTTTTAAAAAGTACTCTTACTTTTGTTGAAAAATAGTTAAATCTGCTAGAGGTACAGCTGTAACTTGCATAAATAAAGGTTCATCAATTGATGGTTTAGATGGTGAAGAGATATTGACTCCGGAAGACACTCAGACGACAAATATTTCTTAGCAAACCAGAATTGCTTTAAACTTTCACTTTAATTTGCTATTTCTCTCCACCCACATCCCGCCAAAAACTAATCTTAGTAAGTGTATTAAAAGTTAAAGAAAATCTTTGATCGTTAAAACTAGTGGAAATAAAAGACCCATATATTAAAGCCAGTGATATTACCATGAGCAAACTTAAAAAGAGCCTAAGAAAGTAAGAGACAAGCACTCGGAGTTTTGCCAAGAAAAATAAAAAAGTAAAAACTGCACTTACATGAAGTTTCTTACCATGCAGTTTCCTGAGAGTAGATTCTATGAATAAGTTGCGATATTCGCAATAGCTCAGCGCGCACTGGGTTTGACCGATCTCGCACCGAATTTCTCCTCTGCTTCCTGATACAAGCACATTAAGTTTTAATTTTGTCATCGATACTATCAAATGGAACAATTAATTAACGTCCCGCGACCGGCTAATGGACTAAAACGTAAATGACATCAGCCCTAGGCCGGCTTCAGTTATTTACCATGCCCCGCTTGTTCATGAAAAGTGGATAACGCTAATCCATCGGTCATGATCGGATAAATATGTATTCACTGCTGATAGTGCAATTGGTTTTCCTAATGCCTATCCCCTGGATAGCGATTTATCCGGTTTAGTAGAGCAATTTTACTTGAAGTAGGTTGTAGAAAACTACGCACTATTATGCCTTTTCTTTTTCTCTTCTTTTTTTTTTCCCAGAGGTTCCGTCATTTAATAGCTTTTAAAGAACACCAACACTAGACCAGCCGAATGATGTCATCAAATATAAAAGTTCAAAGGTGGCCTTACACCTTGCTAAACTAACTGCAAGCCATGAAATACTGATTAGAAATACACATACTCAGAAGACTGAAAACTCCAACAAAATACCCTTTCGATTATTCGTTATCCATCTTTTGAACAACCAGGGCCAGGAGGGTAATTTGACAAACGAGATGGAGATCGCCTATAATAAAGAACTTAAAATTTTCAATTGGCTGCTGCAAATAATAACTTTTACAAAGACATAATAATCAATTATTTAATATGTATATAAAATAA